CAGGTTCGGAGCTTGGTCCTGTGTGGAGGAGAGAGGAGGTTTTTGTCGGATGATCGAATGTGGTGGTGGAGCATGTCCGTGAGGTAGGAAGGGGCCTGGCTGTGGAGGGCTTTGAGGGTGAGGAGGAGGATCTTGAAATTGATTCTGTACGGGACAGGGAGCCAGTGTAGGTTTTGCAGGACAGGGGTTATATGTTCACGGGAGCTGGTGTGAGTGAGGAGGTGGGCAGCAGAGTCTTGGATGTACTGAAGTTTGTTGAGGACTTTGGATGATGAGCCGTAGAGGATTCTGTTGCAGTAGTCCAGTCTTGAAGTGATAAAAGCATGGATGAGAGTTTCAGCGGCAGAGAAAGAGAGTAATGGACGGAGACGGGCAATGTTTCTAAGGTGAAAGAAGGCAGTTTGGGAGAGGCAGCTAATGTGAAGTTCAAATGAGAGGTTATTGTCGAAGATGATACCAAGGTTAAAGATGAATGGGGAGGGAGAGAGGGTGGTGTTGTCAATGCTGAGGGTGAAGTTTTGTGTTACTGTAGAGAAGGATTTTGGGCCGATGAGTATTATTTCAGATTTGTCACAGTTGAGTTTGAGGAAGTTGGCTTGCAGCCATGATTGGAGTTCAGTCAGACAGTTGGTGAGGGTAGAGCTGGTGGCCGGGATGATGGATTTTGTGGAGATGTAGATTTGGATGTCATCAGTGTAGCAGTGGAAATGGAGACCATGACGACGGATGACTATAGGGAATACGGCAATAGGCGAATTTGCCAAAATGTCGAACTATCCCTTTAAACTTGAACATATAAAACTGTAGCTTACAATATAGAAATCTTGAAAACGTGTAATTTCCAAATAAAGACACACAAACACACACCATGAAACCCTAGCAGGACTCACACTGGACACATGAAGTTCAGCAGCCCAAATCTCCAAAACAATGACACAGTCGGGGTGTTTGTGACACAGAGTGCAGAGGGGATTTCACGGGAGTCAGCATCCCGATTTCACTCCCGTCTCTCCTGTTTCTGTTTACTGAATGCTCAGCTCCATCAACTCTGACACTGACCATCATACTGACTTGAAATAAAAGCACAGAGAGACCCAGACACAGTCAGGAAGGTAAATACAGGAAGTCATAATTCAAACACATATAAGATGAAGACATGAAAAAATATTCATAAGGTACTATTCTATGATGTCAGTCACAACAATTATATTACTAATACAACAATTATTTTGAAATGAAATGCAATAAAAGTTTTGTCATTAGAAAATCACACCATTATGAGTAAGGTGTATGCCCCAAATTTACTCTTTATACCATAATGAAGAACAATAAGGAATTTATGAAAGTCTGGTTCAAGGACTTAATCAACTCAATGGTGTGTCATTAGGATAGATGAGCACATGCAGGAAGTCCCATTTCGCTCTTATTTTAAGGAGGTTTGAGCTGGTTTGAGCAGACAACAGAAGGAATGAATAAAGAATATTAAACTAAATATCATTATGTCTTATTTGTAATAATAACCCAAACACAGTAAGTATAAACCTAGGAATCATGAAATAACTTAAAGGGATAGTGCTCCCAAAAATGAAATTTCAGCCAATATCTACTCACCTTCATGCTGAGGAACGCTCTGGTGAAGTTTTAGAGTCCTCACATCCCTTGCGGAAATCGGCAGGGGGAGCGGCTAGCACACCTAATGGCTGACGGCGCCCCAGACTAACATCCAAGAACACAAAATTGAAACCACAAAATATCTCCAACATGCCCATCCGTAGTGATCCAAGTGTCCTGAAGCCCCGACATAAAAAGTTGTTTGGAAAAACGTCATATGAACTCTGTTTTTAGCCTCACTGTAGCCTGTGGCTCTGACTGCTTCTCTGTGCTCCGCGCTCACGTGTGCCCGCTTGTGCGAGACCAGCAAAAGCGTGAGCTTTGCTTACCCATGTTTACATCATGTGACACGTGCACTGCAGGGGGAGACAACAGCAACCGCAGTAGCTAAAAGATAATTTGCACAACCATCTTTTAGCAAAGGACATCCCAACATGTCTGAAGACTTTGAAATTGAGGAGGAACAGCATTTCTTTGTTGAGCCGTATTTGTTTGAGCCTGAGTATACGGACGCGGAACTCAGGCTACTGGACGAAGCAGCCGCCGCAGCTCATGAGCCTCAGCCAGCCGCAGAATACCGGAGTCGAGCACTGGAAACCTGGTGGTATACTTGTTTCAAATGCAAATGGATGAGGAAAGTCTTTGCTGCTCAGACTGGGAATTGGCGATGCCTGCACTTGAGAATCTGGACATCAGTACTGACGAGACTGCTGCTCTTCAGAGACCGTGCATCACCGATCACCCTGAGCGCACACACGTGAGCGCGGAGCACAGAGAAGCAGTCAGAGCTACAGGCTACAGTGAGGCTAAAAACAGTTCATATGACGTTTTTCCAAACAACTTTTTATGTCAGGGGTTCAGGACACTTGGATCACTACGGATGAGCATGTTGGAGATACTTTGTGGATTCAATTTTGTGTTCTTGGACGTTAGTCTGGGGCGCCGTCAGCCATTAGGTGTGCTAGCCGCTCCCCCCGCCGATCTCCGCAAGGGATGTGAGGACTCTAAAACTTCACCAGAGCGTTCCTCAGCATGAGGGTGAGTAGATAATGGCTGAATTTTCATTTTTGGGTGCACTATCCCTTTAACTGAAACTCAATCAACACAACAAATAATGATCTTTTAAGGATATTCTAAATGCATTAAAATCAAAGAAAACTCACATTTCATGTACTCAGTTCTAACAGTTCAATGGAAGGATCAGGCTGATCGACATGCCTCTGTTCTCCAGGGGAAAAGCCATCTGTGAGCTGTGGCTACATTTAGTCTCTGGGAGAGGGAGGCAGGTAGGAGTGGCCAGGGATTTTCAATGCTGTCAGGTGGAGGGGTGCTTGAGGATTTTCCACACCAGTAGCTGACAAAGTGTAGTAAAAGATTGTCAGTAAAAGCAAAACTGTTACTTCATACATCAATTAATAAAACTGATTAAAATAAAAAAAAACACCTGCTGGAACATTCCACAGGTAAACATGTTAACTGGTAAAAAATAGTAGTATCATTGATAGGTATGAAAGGGGCATCTGAAAAAGGTTCAGGGTGCTCACTTTTTGACACACTGTAAAAATTCAAGATGGCTCATATATTATACTGTAAGAGATGAGGTACTTATATACTGGCATAATGTCAATGACTGTGACCTGTTCATTCCTTAACTGCAGCTTATGCTCGTTTATACAGGGCGGGCACAACGGACAGGGTAAACATTGTGCATTGTAGCGGAGCTCATGCACTTGACCATATGCTTCAATCCGTTATCCGGGCAGTGGAAACTCGCTTCCGGCGCCAAACAAACTCGGTCGGACTCCGCCTCGTAATATAATGAGAGCTCAACAGGCTGCACCTGCTGCTAGCTGGCACTTCAAATTATGTTGTTATCGTCGGCAAAAACGTTACAAACCTTAAACGAGTTGTCCCGGAGCGCCAATGAAGGTGGAGTTTGATATAACAAGTGGTATGCTAGCTAGCTAACATTAGCCTCCATGAAAATACCATAATGTACGTCCAAATTGTGATGGCTAACGTTAACGGCTAAATCAAAGCAACTTAACCTTATCAGGCTAATTAACATTCCCAAACTGTAAACATCCTCATAAAAGCCCATTAAGATTATCATAAAGCTACTGTAAGAGATTCTTACCTAAAAGGTCCAGTGTTTAGAGTTTAGTGGTCTCCAGCAGTGAGGTTGCAGAAACTTCTCTGGTGTGCCAAGTGTGTAGGGTAACTACGGTAGAAAACGGGAATGACCCTATCCAGAGCCAGTGTTTTTGATTTGTCCGTTCTGGGCTACTGTAGAAACAACATGGCGGACTCAATGGAAGAATTGCTTCAAATGTATACATAAATAGCTTTTTATTAGGTCATAAAGACACAAAGTTGTTGTTTTAGGGTAATTATAAACCAATAAAAACATAGTTATGAATATTAACTAACATTTCTGCCAACAGATGCCCCTAAATCATACACACTGGACCTTCAAGGCATGCAGACAGTCATTTACTGACCTCATTCAACTACCTGTGACTCTGTCCTTGCAGACCCAGATTCGCCCATGATACTATCATCTGTTAACCTTGTAGCCCCTGTTGGTTTTCTGTGCATCTCACAACTTTCCCTGTCTTTTGTTGCCCCTGTCCCAACTACTCTCATTTTCAGGTAATTGTACACAAAATAAAACTTACCTTATTATTATATTCAATTTCTGCCATTATAGGCCCCTAAATCCTACACATTTGACCTTTAAATATCTTGTTTCTGTGCTGTATTCAGTTGAATATAGGTTGAAAAGGATTTCCAAAACATAGCATTGTTTTTGTGTATATTTTACACAGCATCACAACTTTACTGGAATCAGAGTTGTGTTATAATGAATTACAAAATGCCAGTTGCAGTCCTACGTGTGTGAAAGATTAATATAAGCAACAGAAACGTCAGATTTTGTAAACAGAAAAATAAATGTATTTAACATAATGCCATAGAATAGCTGAAAGAAAGCAATGTGTACACATTTATTGACAACAACACCTTGCTAGCATCTTTATTGAAGACTTTGGTGAGCAGCCATTATCACAGGGCAGTGTTCTACCAGGCCAAGATGAAATCTGAGATTGAATATGGAATATAATTAAACATTTTCTGACTCAATAAGCAGTCTTTGGTATTAGATTTTTTTTTCCCTGGGGCAGATGAGAGTACCATACACAATATATTACAATACATACAACACTGCGCTTGGAAATTAATACACATCATAAAATCCTTTGAAACTAGAAATTACATATGTAGATGTTGCTACGTACAGTGCAAAATAAATCATTGTAAAAAAATTTACAACAGTGAAAGCACAAATTATTAACCAGTAAAGTTCTGGGGATTTTAATGATATGAGTAACCTGTTTAAATGAATTTTCTCTCAAAGTTTTTTGCTGAAATGGTGATAACAGTGTTTGATTTATCCCTTCACCAACACTGTACACCAAGAGCTTAATCATCAAAGCCCTGTTTCTGTGTTCTGCTAACATCAGCACCATTTCACTCATCCATTCATTCATTCTAACCACTACATGTTCAGTAGTGTACTGGACTCAGACATGAAACACAGAACCAAGCATTTGTACAAAAGAGGGAAATGCCGTAGAGGATGGACGCTTTAGATCTTGGTCTGTTTGACTTCCTCCTCGTCAGAGCTGGAGTCAGAACTCTTCCTGTCCTCCTTGCGGTTCTCAACCGAGTCCTTCCTCTTCATCTCTACACTCTTCCTCCTCTCCTTCTCTTCAGGTTCTTTCTGGGCAAACCGGGCTTCTTCCTGGGTTGGGTCGATGTAGGTGTAGAAATAAGCCATGAAGGCAAAGATGAAGCACACTAACAGCAGCAGAGAGGCAAAGAGGATGTACTCGGCCCACTGGTGAACAGAAACAAACACAGTGTTAATTTGGAGCTAAACTGAGAGGAACAGCTCGGCATTTTGGGAAATTCGTTGCTTTTTTGCGGAGAGTTTAATGAGAAGATTTATACCACTCTCATGTCTGTCTGTTGAATATGGAGCTCGGAGAGTTAGCTTGGATTTATCTAACTTAACCTCTGTTATTATGTTTAATCAAAAGCAACTACAGCCAGTTTCAAACGCTAATTAAAGGTTTCATATCTCATAAAATGAAGGTCAGTGGGGACAATATGCATCTACCAATGGTTTATATAAAATCCACCCACCTGATCTGGGAGCGTTGCAGCCTCGGCCACAATGAGCACAATAATGTTACCTACAGCAACAGTGAACAGCCAGCCAGCCTGCAGCACAGACTTCATGTTGCTGGGTGCCTGGAAAGTAAAAAGAGAGTAATATAAAACTACATATTACAGCAAATTATAAAAGACATCAATAAGTATTTTGTGTCTCTGGACAAATTAACATTAGGACAGACTTTATTATCCAATTCAACTTCTATTACCTCTGCCAAAGAGGGTATGTTCTGGTTGGGTTTGTGTGTTGTTTGATATGTTTGTTTGTCAGCAGGATTACAGAAAAGCTACTGGCCTGACACATAGGGCAGCCAGACACAAATTATTTTTCACTCTTGTTAACATTTGTGAGATAGGTCATTTGGCCTTGGTGGAGGTCTGCGCTCTCTGAGTGTCCTTCCAGTTATCTCCACCAGGAGGTAGGGTCTGCAAGTTTACTGGAAATTGGCTTGGCGAAAAACAACAAGCCTTACCATCTGTTGCAGGACACATTTTGGCCTATGTCGTGGCTCAAAACTTGACATTCACAGAAATGTTAAGTCTTATTTTAAACTGGAGCATCTGCAGATTAATTCTGTACCCAATCCACTAAAGTTAGGCAAGTTAGGAGATTAATTAGTCCCTGTTTTTGTTATCATCACTGCCACCTTGACTGTAAGGGAGCTGGGAGGGACAATTTCACCAGACATATAAACAAAGCAAAAGAGATTACAGCCCTTTGATTATCAGTCATTCTAATACCCTATCCAGGGATACCAAAGATGGCAATCGGAGGCAATGGAACAAGAGTCAGATCCAATATCTTAGATATAACGTCAAAAAAAGATCTCCAATATTCCACTAGGCTTGGGAATGACCAGATCATATGAGTGAAGTTTGCTCGTGCCTGACAGCATCTGTCACAAGTATCAGAGAGGTTTGGAAAGATCTTTGATAGTCTAGCTTTGTTAAAATGGATCCTGTGAAGAATTTTGAACTGAATGAGACTAAGCCTCACACAAGAGGGGGATAAATTGATTGCTTTCAATGCATCATCCCACCATTCATCTGACAATGTGATACCTATTTCGGCTTCCCGGCCTGATTGAATCTTATACAGAGCAGGGGAGTCACTGTTGATAAAAGGTTGTAAATGAACAAAATGTGGCCTCTTGACAGTTCAGTAACTGCAAGTCAGGTCATTTATTCTTGATATTTGTGCATCTATCACAAGTAAGTAAGCAGGCTTTGTTAAATTGTTTATTTTTTTGTCTATTTTTGCTGTGTTTATTGTTGTCATTTTGTTGTACTGTAGCCTATAGACGAAGGTAATACCATTCAAAGTCCAGTTATGAATGACATGTATCAAAGATTTGTAGCTATGTTTTCACAGGAGAACTTGATCTACTCTTTGCAACATGTAGCGGCTCTGTCAAAAATAGACAACGCATGTATTTTTATTAGCTTTTAGGACATTTCTGAAACGTGCTGCAGCGCATCTGCTGAATTACAAGAATTGTCTAGAGTGGCCACAATCAGCCGCAGCGACCCCCCGGCAGAGGTCTGCACTCTACTGAGTGCACTTTTGTAGTTATTTGTTTTCAGTTGTTGTCAGATATGTAAGGAGAGCACACTCTACCTGTGAGTAGGAGAACTCCAGGCCGGTGACAGAGAAGACCACCTCTCCTGCAGTGATGAGGAAATACTGGGGAATCTGCCAGGCCATGTGGATGGTGTTGGGCTTGATGTCCATCACTGGATGGATGTTCTGTTCACACTACAGGACATAAAGCAGCCAAGTACCAAGATGTATTACTTCAGTCAAAAACATTTAAGCTATATTGAGACTCAAAATGAATTCTTGAATTACATTTTGTCCAAATGCAAAAGTTGGCGGGATGATCAAGGTGAAGGAGCTGCCGAAGCCCAGCTCTTGACTGTAGACACACTCTTGTCCAGTAGTACTCTTGATCAGGAACTTTGCTCTGATACAACAAGAAAACACCCATCAGAGCATTGACTTTTCTCCAGTGTAACTGTATGTGAAATACATAACGAAATCAGCCTTACAGTCCCCGTGGTACCCCAACATATTTTGACATGCTGTTGGTGGTGATCTCCCCAAAGTCCTGGTCACCCACTGTTACATTCAAAAGTGAGTCATAGCCACTAAAAAATCTGGGGAAGAAGAATTCAGAACAAAATAAGTGAGACAGTTTTGATACAAGATTAAACACATTCTTCCTCTTACAAATGAAAAGTTGAATTTATAATCAGGAAGACGAACCCTTGCTCAATTCATACATGTCAATATTTTCTCACTATGTTGTGATCTCCACATAACCAGCTTAGTTATGTCCCTAACGGCCGTCTAAAGCAATGATTTATGACCCCCAAGCTGTTCCAAGCGAAACCTGAGGTCAGTGGTGCCCCCATTGGCCATATGGGCCCACTGGAAAATCTTGGGGTGACACACCAAAACCAAAAGCCATGACTAAATATCAGGAATTCTATTGTGCTGTTGAAGTATATAGGCAAGTTGAAAACCATGTCAGTATGAAATTTAAGTAATCGCATGGTGATATACTTTGCATTTTGCATTTTTGAGTTCCACAATAATCCTGTTTTAATGTCTTAAGTATCTATACATGTTGGGCAATTCACTGAACTTCAAATAGGCTGCTTGTCCTTTTCTTTCAAAAGACAAATATACAGCTTTAATTTGAAGGAGTACATTGTTCTGGGAACAAGCTCAAGTTTAGGGGAGACGTGTAGGTACCTATGGAACCCATTTCATTCAGATATCTTGAGATGACAGTTCAAGGGACCCCTCTGAAAATGGCAATGTCGGTTGTTCCCTCGCCAAAATTAAGCTCAACTTTGGAGCGTTATTTAGCCCTCTTCATGATAAACTATGCTGACATGGTTAGTATCAATGGATGCCTTAGGTTGTCTAGTTTTACAACATGCCAATATCTTTGTGGTAGATTAAAAAATGAGTGCGTCACAGCCTCTTAAATACAGTAATGTTGGCCGACATTTATTATTTTCACCAAGGGGGCCAGTGAGGGGGCAGCAATAGTACCGCCTCTTGTGGGTGCCCCTGCTTTTCTGTTACAAAAATGTGGTTTCATTTTATCTGGATTTGCCCCTTTTCCTGTTAAATACTGAAACTTTAGGTACTTTAATCATATATTAAATAAAAATAAAACAATCTGAGAAGGAAAAACAACTAACACAGGCACACTATCACTTGCAGTTAGATTAAAAGAAAATTGCAGACAATTACAAACTCATTCCTTTAAGTTTTATAACATTGTGAAACTTGCCTGATATCATTAGCGCCCTGTTCCGGCTTTGTTTTGATGTCCATGAACTGGAGATAGAAAGATACTTTAGAGCCTCCACATCTTTGTACTTAGAGTTATATTTTTATATATAATGCATGATAAAGAAACACACACTACAATCATAATTACAGTCCAACTGAGATAACATTTAGACATCCCTTGTTGCAGTCAAATAATGCGACGTGTTTTTTAAATGTTTTGTTTGATTGACAGCAGCTGGCAGGCTGAGCTCCAGCAGGGGAACAAGAGACAGAGTGAACAAACTCATGCATCAGCTTACAAACCATGGAAGACAGGGTTTTATTAGCAGTGTCACTGATGTTCACACCAGCAACCTGACCTGTGTGACATTTGCAGGTATGCTTACATGCCGTTTTATGCACCGCAGCTGAGCTATCTAGCTTTGCGTAGACAGTCGGACTTAATCTGGCAGTGTACTCACCCCTAAAGGCTTAGGTAGAGGCCCATCCTGAACGATGACTACAGTGCTACGATTACCATCCACTAAACCGGTTAAGTAAGTGGCATTTCCCCCTAGAGTCAGTAGAAATGGATCATCAAAGGTCAGGTAATCATCATTGGCCTGCAGGACAAAAGAAAAGTCAGCATGAAAATGTTCTCCTACTTTTAGTGGGTGGTGACTTACAGACCTTCTTAATTTTAGTACATGTGGATAACGAGTGTCTGTGCGCTGTCTAGTGCTGACTGGAGTACCGTGTAAGGCTTCAAGGTGAACTCGTTGGTTCCAGCTTTGACGTCCAGCGATCTGTCAAGCATGTTGATGAACTTTGCTTGGCCAACAGTGCTTGATGGGAACTTAGGCAGAGTTTTCTAGAAGAGAAATGGAACTGTGTTTCACACGGTAATGTGCGTTTAAGTTGCCCAATGTATATTTTTATGTGTGTTACACTCACATCAATTTGTATTTGGACCAGGGCAGCACAAACGAATGCAAGAGCAGCAAGGAACATCCCAACAGTCATCCTCTTTAATGGACTACAGAACAAACAAATGCACACACACACACACACACACACACACATTTTTAAACATTTGAGTTTATATCTCTTCACCATATTACACAGAACAGGAGGGATTTCAGGAGGCTAAAACAGTATCTGTCACTTCATTTTATCTCCCAACTTCGTGGTTATAAGCATGGGCGGATTATCAGACTATGGGTCCCTGGGAACAGATATGCAAAAGGCCCCACCACCTGTCCTGCACAGGAGCAAGAAACACAGACTTTTTTTGGTTTTGCCTCTTTTTTTGTTGTTGTTTTGTGTCTCTTTTATTTCAGTTTGTATATATTTGGTCTTCATAGTCATTTTGTGTCTCTTTGAGGTCATTTTGTTGTTGCTTTTTATAGTACTTTTGTGTCTCTTTGAGGTCTTGTTGTTTCTTAAACAGTAGTTTTTGTTTCTTTGTAGTTCTTTTGTGTCTTTTTGAGGTCTTTTTTGTAGTAATTTTGTGTCTCTTTGAGGTCTTTTTTGTGTTTTTGGAGTAATTTTGCATCTCTTAGAAGTCATTTTTGTCTTTTTGTAGTAATTTTGTGTCTGAGCTCTTTTTTGTCTTTTTTGAGTACTTTTGTGTCTCTCTAAGGTCATTTTGTGTCTTACTCTGTCATTTTTGTTTCTTTGTGGTTACTTTGTGTGTTTTTGAGGTCTTTTTGTCTTTTTGTAGTATTTTTTGTGTCTCTGAGATACGACTGAAAGCTCTGAAAGAAATTGAGTAAGGGGACGTTAAGTTTGTTTGGGTTTTTTTGTTGTTTTTTGGGTCAAACTGCTATTTCAGAGGTAAGATCCAACTTTGAAGCTCAGCCTGTCTTCATGAGTTTTGAACACATTTAAGCAGTTTGAAATCATACTTGATAATTTGTACATTAATAATTAGTGTTTTATAAAATACTAATTAGCTTATAGTAACATTATTTAAGTATCATGTAGAGACAAGCTGTCAAGCTTTACACAGTATCTCATTTATATTTAGACCATAGGTATTAAGATATTTAAAGGCACGAGGACAGAGTGGATCGTTACAATATGGAGTTCCAATGAAAAAGTCACTAAAATGGGTTGAGATAAAATCACTTTTTATATCAACAGTAATATAGTTTAATTGCTTACATTTTCCTGCCTAATTTGTGTGTATAAAAAGTTAAACATTTTTTTTAACTTAAACTGTTCTATAGTAATATTTTGAGTGATTATCACAAAAGAAAAAAATGAATACATAGAAAGACTCCAGTAATATTTTCCATCATACAGAAACAAAACAGGAAAATAAACTCACGTGAAGTTTAATTTGCACTTGGCAATCAGAGGGTAGATCAAACTGTCCATGATTGGCACCAAAACCAGGATCAAGATAGGGTTGACAGTCTGTTAAGTAGGAGAGTCACTCTTTTAGTGCTCTTTTCAAGCACAAGCATCAAGAAACATCCCAACAAAGTAAGTAAAATATAATCAACACAAGTGTCTTACCTGCATCTGATCAGGCTGGATTATAAGAAGTCCCTGTTGAAGCAAAAAAGGGAGGGAGACAGAATCTCAAATTAAAAAACAGTCTGTGGTTTGTACTCACAAGGTTTGTCATAGGAAAACAATAAAACACTTACAAAGTCACCGTCCATGGTGGTTGCCTGGAGGGTCCATCTGGAGCCCTGTATTGGAGACACAGCTCTCCTTTAGTCTGTCTTTGGATTCTTTTGGTGCACATCTGGGTGCACATTATCTTTGTCTTTTTCTTTTGCTACTGATCACAGCTACATACAGTTAGTGTCAAGGAGAAAATTGGTGGTTACCTGCTGGTCAAAGAGAGCCCAGAACATTGGCAGAGGGATGTAGAGGAACAGCACCTTCAGCACCATCTTCACCTGAGCAATCAGGAGTTTCTGGAGCCAAACATAGAAAAGGGTTAGGATTTTTACATCACTGAATATACTGTTTGTATTTGCATATACAGGTATAATGCTCTTACATCGTATTTCTCCTCAGCCCAGTCCATCCAGTGGGCTCTCTTCGGGTACTCAGGAGCACGATGCCTAAAGCGGTTCTTGATAGCAAACTACAGATGGCAGAGAGGACAGTTCAATGTGAATTTTTCTCTGAGTAAATAACATTTTGTTACCTAACCTAGACTAAAAAGTTAATAAAAAGTTCAAGTTTGAATAATTGTGATGTTCCCCGGTTCTCTTTAAAACCATTGTACTCCATTTTCAAAACAAAAAAAACCTTTTGGAATAACAAAATGTTCACCTTTCAGGACCCACTTACCCCGATGCACTTGCAGACTTTGACCAAGATGTTGCCCTGAGGGGCGTTCTTAGTGTACATCCCACTTCCAACAATGAACACAACTGCAGACACACACCAAATATATATCTTAACATTTGACTACTTGTCAGAACAGCAACAGGAAGTTATAAGAAAAAATAGGAGGTCATCATCAATGTGGCAAACCAGAAGGATTATTTATCTATAAAAAGAATGAATCAATAACTTGTTAAAGGGGCATTTCAACTATGTAGCACTGTACTTTCTTTAAGCTAGGGAGACTCACAAGAGACAAAGTTGAAGTAACGGAGGCTGAATTATCTTGACTTTAAAGCTCTGTGTACACATATACAGATACTTTTGAAAACATATTTTTTATCTCTACATTTTGGCCTCTTGTCCACACAAACATTTTTAGGGAGTTTTAGGTCACTGAAATTTGTTTCAAAACGCCTTCCAAGATGCAGATTTATAAACTTCTGGTTTATCTGTGTGGTCATGTAAGACGAAGCATAATCTCCTCAATTCGCACATACCCATTGTTGCTTTGTGTAATGAGCATGCACTAAAAACAACAACAATGGTGGACTTGGTTTGCCAACGTTTTGTTAGCTCTGCTTGGTCTAATGACTACTGTATACCTAACCTTATTGCTGCACCACTTCACAGACAAACAGAGGCATATGCTACACCCAATGTTTTTGCTTCACCTCAGCATTCACAGTTTAAAGTCCACCAGAAACGAGAGTTTTGGATCAGGACTGGTCTAACCAGCAGATGGTGGGATATTTTCCAGTGTGGGATTGTTGTCGATGAGGAATGGAAGGAAAAGGTTCGCATTTCCAGAGAAAAAAGAAATGAATGCTTACTCAGAGCTACCACCATGAGAGCAGCAGGGACACCAAAGGCCAATGGGTAGCACTTCTGTTGGGTGTGAATACCGCACTCCTGAGCTGGAAACCACAGCACACACAGGCACACAGTTATAAAACTTCAACACCTGAGTCAACGATGTATTTTGTGCTCTGTCATCAACATCAGCGAACCTCTGAGGATGGGAGTGATGACAGTGGACAATAGACTGCCAGCATTGATGGACAGGTAGAAGATGGAGAAGAAGGTGCTCCTCTGCTTCTCCTGTTGGACACAAGGAGGTTAAACAGGTTCTGGACAAAAAAAGCACTGATGTACATTTTTCATTAATCACACTACTGGATGCATTTTATATAACATCTCATTTCATCAGAGTCATTGATATTATGAGGCAATCTTTGTCCCTGGCCTTGAACAGTGTCATAAAGTCACTGAGACAGATGTACTTGTGGTTATTAGTTAATAAACAACTAGCTGGAAACGAATAGAGATACAAGAAGTGCTGACGAGTAAGTTGTCTTTTTAATTGCTGTGTGGGGCGTGTGTACACACATGCAAGAAAGAGTAAGAGATAAAAAAGTGTCCTGCATGTGGCCGATGCATGCATGTTCATGAGGAGACTAGGTATAGTGCCAAATAAATGAAAGAATTACATGCTCCTTGATAGTAAAAACCTCAGTAACACTTTATTTCACAGATCTGAATTTTTTCCAAATATGTTTCAAGTTTCTCAAGAAGTTTTTGTAATTTCGTGCATTTTCTTTTAAGAAAAAAGAAAGCTTGATTTTATAGAAACAGATTACATTCATCAAACAAAGGCCTGATCTCCTAATTATGACCTCCATATTGCATAATTATGACATACTTTCTCACAACGAGAGATGTTTTCCCATGTTTTTTGTTTGTTTGTTCTTTTCGTAAATCATTTTTGAGCCTTTGCAGTTGTCTTGCAGCTGTGTGCTTGACTCTAGACAGATGTTCTGTTGTGACTGAAAGACTTTAGGTCAGCGATAGTGACCTAGTGATTGGCGGTTGCCCGAAGTGGCTGCCTGCCGACCACTTTCTAAATCACATGAAAATAAATATTTTTATTATATTTTTTTTTAATATATTTTTTTTCTTTGAATGCAAATAAGGTGAAACAATGCATTAAAAAACATCCTGTCATTTTGTAAAAGTGGCCCATGGGCAAAGCAATTTGAGTAAATCTGGTCTAGGTCATGCCAGCAGCTGCCTGGATTTAACTGTTCTTGTAGCAGTTGTACTGTCTCTATTGCCCTTAAATTAAGTAATCAATAAATAGTTTTTTCCAAGAAACTTCATGGAAGTTAGTAGGAAATAAACCAGAACTTATCGGCAACAATAATAAGCCCTCCAGTATTTATCACAGGACTGTTCCAGGTCTCATAAGACTGTAATCTGTCTCCTCTGCCATGTGTACACAGTATGTTTGCGTGTGCTTGAGCAACATCTAACCTGATCATCGTCAAACTGGTCTCCACCAAAGGCAGCCACGCAGGGTTTGATGCCTCCTGTACCCAGAGCAATAAGGAGCAAACCCACCATGGACAGAGCTCTGAGGTCGAAGCACAGCACAGATACAGTGTCACTACTATCTTTCTCTGTTGTGTTTCTGCGCACAGTTCTGTGTGTGTTCAACTCACATGTGGAAGGTCATGTTGTCGGGGGTGCCATCTTTGTTTGCATCCGTGATGTCATGGATAGCACTTACAGCCAAGATAACCTGTCCCAGTGCGTAAACGATGGACAGGTAAACAATAGTCCTGTGCAGAGGGAGGAGGAGGAGGAGGAGGAGGAGGAAGGAGGAGTAGAGTAAAACAGATGTACAGGTTCAGGTACAGATAAGATAGACAAGGGTCAAAAATCCAAGGATGACATTTAACAGCCCATTCTGTAAGATATACTTTAACCCCAAATCTACTTCTCGATGTACTACAACAGCATGTAAAGCTAGTTGTATACTCATAATGCATGTCTGTATTTGGTTGTAGGTAAAAGAGTCGCTGGATTTAAAACTCACTTGAACTTGCCGAGCCATGAATCAGCCACTATGGCTCCCAGGATGGGCGTCAGGTAGCAGAGAGCCACAAAGGTATGGTAGATAGTGGTGGCAAAGTCATCATCCCATCTCAGGAAGTACTTGAAGTACAGCACGAGCACGGCTGCAGACGCGGATTGAGACGGAGGAAAATGGGAGAAAGTAAAAATGATAATGCAGAAAAAGGTGGAAGTATTCACAACTTTTACGACAGTGTAAACATGCTCCTATTACAAGCGACAGTCCTGCATTTAAAAGCTTACTCACATAAAAAATATACAAGTATAATCAGAAAATATATTTTAAGTATTTAAAGCAAAAACTGACATATTATTATGGCTATTTTTTAGATATTTATGTTTTTCTAATATATGAATAAAGCAGTTTCATGACAGTGCATGAGATCCAGATCAAACCCTCTCACCTCGCATGCCATAGTAGGAGAATCGTTCGCAGAACTCATTGACGACGATGAAAAAGATGCTTATTGGGAAGCCAAAAATAGTCGCCTGTTAGAGGAGAAAGGAAAAACTTCAGTGACTGAAAAAGGAGTTTATAGGTTCTGCACAGCAAGTAGGACACTTACTGTTGTTTCACTGACATGTTAATAACTTACTTTGCAGTTTACAAGACCTTCGTCCCCTGACACCAAGAGTCACTTTAATACCTGAATTGTTTTTCAATGCCATGATTATGTGATTATAATTATTTATGAATTTTTAAATACTCATGGATGAGTGCATATTTTTCTTCTTGAAAATTCAGTCCTGTTGGGTATAATGACAGTAACTAAGAAATAGGTGCATTTTTAACTACTAAAGACATTTAGACTTACACTCTTTTTCTTGGGCTTCCTCATCTCATCTTTGTCTGCAGAAATGAAGTCACACATTATGCAAACTAACATTTTTTTCTGAGATAAAATACAAAAAAGTGAAATATGCAGATAAATATTGTTAAATGTGACAACTGGACAAATTTAGCTTGTTTGTGTAAATTTCTGACAAATATTTGCTATGCTCATGTGCATGAAGCCAATACCAATAATAATATAACCAAGTGTGATGCATGAGATAAACAGAGAATATTCCTCTGACACTTGCAGGAAAAGAAATCCCAAAATGTAAGGATGGGTCCCTGAGCGTCCGAGTCATAGGGTTCCCATCCAGACTGGGACTCACCTGCCATGGCTGCTGTGTGCGTCGACTTTAGGTCAATTCTCCAACAAAATCCTTCAGTAAAAAGACACAGAGAGACTTGTGACCCCTGTCCAGATCAGATCCACGACACGAAGACCGAGCCGAGGCCTGGCCGGCTTCTTTTGTAACCTCCCATCAACCCTCCTGCAACGCCCAGTGATGCTGAACTGTGGATCATACACACCTCCCACCTCCCAACATGCAAGTCACCATTATTCCCACCTCCCAGCACATTCTCTTCATCATAATCACAAGTGAGTGTGTGTGTGTGTGTGTGTGTGTGTGTGTCAGTAATTACTTTATGACTCAGGAAACTCAGGTAGAATATGAGGGTCTTGCCTTGCAGATAAAGAGGATTTGACAGGTCAGCTGATAAAGGACACAACCTTCATACTGTATTTATCACTGCTTTGTAAACGAAAAATCTGATGCTTAGCTCTGAGACAGGGATGTGATACATGCAAAGCACAAACTGTGGTTATATTTATGACAGCAACAGCAGTAGCAGCTAAAACATGAACATATAAAACTGTAGCTTACAATACAGAAATCTTGAAAATGTGTAATTTCCAAAGAAAGACACACAAACACACACCATGACACGCTAGTAGGACTCACACTGGACACATGATGTTTAGCAGCCCAAATCTCCAAAACAATGACACAGTCAGGGTGTTTGTGACACAGTGCAGAGGGGATTTTACAGGAGTCAGCATCCTGATTTCACTCCCGTCTCTCCTGTTTCCGTTTACTGAATGCTCAGCTCCATCAACTCACTGACCATCATGGCGACTCATGACCACATGCACAAACAGAGAGAGACACACACACTTTAAAGAAGGAAATATTAGTCATTTTTCATTATAGTTATTCTAACTAACATTAGAAAATGACATCATCATGTGTAAGGATACACCCAGAGCTCATTCTCAAAACTAAATTTTTAAAGCACTAATGTATGGAGCCCTGTAGCTGACAAAATAGTGAGGGTTGTCAGACAAGTCTAAACTGTAAGTGAGCCCAGTTAGCAAGCTAAATTAGCTAGTGTTAGCTTGCTGGCTAAAATCCCTTTGCTGCTGTTTACAGTTTATACTGTAGCCTATACAGTAGTGAGTGGCCTATATTTAACTATAATGAACACTGCTCACATAGCTGGCTAGTAGCTGAAATGGTGCTAAAATTGTTTAGCTACCAGTGTTTTCTATTAACTATCCAGATATTAAAGACAGGAAATGAGGGGGAAGAGAGTAGTAGAGGACAAAGGCCTACAAAAAAGGGTCCCAGAGCAACATCTGAAGCAATAACTATTTAAAGTTTGCAAACATCATCATAAACTGCTGGTCAAACCAGACCAAGTCTGGTTGTAGCAGCAAAAACAAATATGAAAATTAGCAAAAGTGTGTTTTATTGTTTCTGAATTCAACTTTTTCATTTGTTGTTTCTTTTTTAAAGCTACACACTGGAGTTTAAAGTAAAATCTGAAACTTTATGGACCCTATTTAAATGATCTAATGCTCATGATCTAAAGTGCAAGAGGCACAAGTGCATTTAGGGCATAGCCAACCACTTTTGCTAGTTAATCTGCTCAAAATATGGGTGCAAAATAAGGCGCAAGGGGCAAAGGATTTAGTCCCTTAATAAGGTGTGTGTGGGCATAACATCTCCCATTCCCTTCAAAAGCCAGGTGTGCCTGTAAGTAGATTGTATGCACATTTTGAGCCCGCCTATGTAGGCACATTTGAATAACACGCCCTTTACAGTAAATATCAGGAACTCCATCTTTCTGACGTCAGACCAGGTTTTTGCTGCCTCAAAATAGCAACACGCCAACAATGCGCATTTGCATACCCATGGGTGCGAGAACAATTTACACAAAGTGGGTGCTGGCCGTAAAAATGACAACTGTGTCATTCTAAAACTAGCAATGACAGTGTGTAAGATGTGGCCCTATATCTCTTTTTAGACTCTGTTTTAATTATCTTATAATATTATTTATTAATGCATGCCATTATATTCTTTACTTTTCTGATAATGTTGCTAGATTTTGTCAGTTTTGGGCCTCCATACTGATATACACTTCTGCTGCTGAAAACAAATTCTCAGAGTTAGTCTTCTTGGACATACACAGCACTTGTCAACTGATTCAGTATCATCAATGTGCAGTATAAATACTGCATACAATTTAGTGTAAGGCAGGTAACCGTCAATTTTTTCAACTTACCCATGGTACCAAACTGCCATATATCCACCATACTTATGAGTACTTCCTCCTCTGTGTGTTTACACTGTCCAGGGAGAGTTGCAAAAGCTTTACTGATAATTGGGAGTCTGTGGCTTCTGCTTCACAGATAAGAGACAGCTTTGAGTTGTATCTGAAACAAGAAAAGGGGCTTGGAGGGTTAAAGTGTGTTCAAGGACTTTCAAAACTAAAACATGAAATAAAATGCTTTCACATTCTCACATTGTTGCAAATTGAAAGTGGACTTAGTGAGATGATATTAAAAGCAACACATGGGCAAAGGTATTATTACATTTTTTATTTATAAGTCTTAAACATATTTACATGAGCAGTCATTAAGTAAAAATGTATCTTTAATCTTACCTCACAGATAATAAAAGGCATCTACATGACAGACAAAGAAACAAAGGGGGTAGATTACAAATTGTCACACCCTTGTCTTGCCTCGCACAGTCTTTTTCTAATGTCTTTGGCAAGAGTGGTTTTCTGTGCAGTATGTGTCCTTGGTAACGATAGAAAATATTGCACACGCTTTTCTTTACAGAAAATAGGTTAAAACATTGCGGTTCACTTGGCTTTAGACAGTTTCTATACACGTCCATTGGCCTAAAATAGATTGAATGGTTCTTTAAATGTCCACGTTAAGATAAAAGATAAACTCTGATGCTTCTGCACTGCATGGAAAAATGCATCTGCTGTAACAGGGAATCAATGGAGAAGAATAGAAAAGGGAGAAGTAAAAATACTGTGTATCAGCTGAAGAATGTATGTACGGTTACAGCAGCGGCATTTATTCATTTATTTCCATTAAAAACTTAATTGAAGTACTCTCTCTTACAAACACTGTACATGAAAGGGAGCCCTACAGTTAAAAACAGATAAGGTGATGACTGGGGTCAAATACTGAAGTACCTCATGTCTGTTACAACATCCCTTGGGTGGAGCTTAAGACACCAGGATAATTAAGATAACACCATGTTGTTGGTCACAGTATTGGACACACAGCTGCTGTGCTCAACCCCATCTTACACAGACAAAAAATATACAGAGGGATAAATGACCCAGAACTGGCAAAAAGTCGACAGAATTGCTGTTCACATGTCAACAGTGTTGACTGGAGTCTCCATAGGAAACAAGAACAATGGGCCAACTGACAACAGGCAGGGAACATGACATTTTCCAGCTCATGACGTGTAAAGAAATAGCAAGATAAAAAATACCAATGTATGATGGCTTCAGTTTGTGTTTAAGTACTTAGAATTTGTCCAAGTTGTTTTGTCTTGACAGACAGGAAGTTTAATCAGTCATTCGTGGTAAAGAAGGCATGAGTCTAGTGTATCAGAGTATGGTGGTGGAGCCATGTGGGTTGGCACTGGTTGGTGTGCCACTGATGGCGTTGAAAATGCCCATGGAGTCGGACAGAGCACTTCTTGAGCCGTCTTCCACTGGGTTTATCTGGAAGGATCATTGGGAAAGATATTTATTTTATTCTGTTGAAAAGTGAAATGCACATGTACATGTTTAAGTTCAGTGAATGTAGGAAAAGTACAGCATTAGTGTTTTGGCTACAACATTTTTTTCTGTCTTCCATTGTCTAGAGTGGCCACAATCAGTTCTGTCAGACACGTCGCAGCCAGAATGCAGTGATTTTATATGAATCGGTACTTGGTAGTACTGATGTAATTTGGTTAGGTTCCCTTAAACAAACGAGTTCAGTACCCAAACTTTGTGGTCATTCACTTGTTGGCTGTAGTTTATTTAACACTACTTTATTTTGTTGGAATATTCACCATTTTGTAAAGTTGGTCATAACAATATGAATTTGCGATATTGGGGGGAGGGTAGTGCATTTTTTGTGTGAACCAGAGGAAGTATTAAAAAAATCTTTAACATACTGGCATCGGCTTTACTTTTGTATAATACAAAAAAATAATATTCAGCCCCACTCCACATCCTAATAATTTTCATACAGTCCCTTACTATTCTTTAAAAGAACACACCAGTAACAAAAGCAGCATTACCATCCAATCTGCTCAGGCCAGCACAAAGAGAGCAGGAGACAGGAGACAGGGTTAGTAAATGAGCAGAAGACTGCAGCAGTGGACATCTCTTTAAGGTTACAGTGGTTGCATATGCTGCTAAATATGCAGTCACACAGCTTGAAACAGTGATGCATGTGCAGCTTTAAATATTTCCACATGCTATCTGATCGACCCCAAGTACTTTAGAGAATCGTGGGATCACATATTTCAATCAAAAGTCATAAAATTCACTATGTAGATATCTTACATTTGTAAAATACATTAGACAGGAAACTCGTTGGTGCACTGAGATCATTTAAGGTGTACTAAATATTCACAGAGGTGTGTTAAAATAAAGCTAAAGAGAAAAAAATTCAATAAATTCATTTCAGAAACAGTTTTTATAGAGTGCACAAGCTGGGTTCTTGATGGATGGGCTTATGGATGATAAAATATGTGTCAGATGTCTAGTGTCTGTAGCTAAAACTTGTCTAACATAGTTCGCTACATGCAATAACAGCTGATCCTGGTCTGAATGATATAGCATATATCCATTACCACCTCTGGGGTTCCTACCTGCTCATGCATGATGTTTGATAGCTCCCTGGTAAGGTCCCTGTAGTTGGCCTTCATCTCATCATGATACTCCTGCTGGTCCTCTTTGATCAGCCTCTCGTTCACTCCTAGCCCCTGACCGCAGGCATCCACAAACTGCCTGAGAGGAGAGGCAACAGGGTTTTAATGCCAATTCAAAACACATATGAACAACATGCAAAGAGTAGGGAGAGAAGAGTAACATGGTGGGCCACATTTTAGACTGATAAGCAGTGCAGTTATTCATC